ATGCTTGGAAAGTTGCGACACCTTGCATAGAACATGAAAGATCAGTAAAGTACTTGGCTAGTCATTCTTTAAATGACTATTGGATATCATTGGGTGTCTATATCCTAGTTGAACCATAAGTTTATTTTATTTTTTTTGTTTGTTGAGGATAGAGGTTGATAAACACATGTTTGACCAGCAACAGAACTGATGTTTTGGACTGCGATGTTTGATTTGGAATTTTATTAAAGGTTTTTGAAAAATATCCATAGTTCAAAACTTTTCATCAAATTTTGCATCCACATTTTCAAAATTGATATTTTTTAAAATATATTTATAAACTCTTCCCTATTTCAATCATTATGTGGGTATAATGGATGGAATGTGAGTGATGGTCCTCTTTGGTTTCAGTTAGTGATCGAAACTAAAATTCGCTTGAAGTCTAGTCCATATCTCAAGAACCTTCGAAGAACTGGATGTTAGTTGCTATAATTTGTTTATCTGGAGAGGGTTATGCTTGATAAAAATTGACGAGGAAAAAATGTTGCACTTCGATTCGTGTTATCACTGAATTGTAATGACTAAATGTTTTCTGTTTTTTCCGTAGTACAGATGTCCAAATCAGCTCCTTCGGATCAATCTCGAATCAATCTTTTAGATACAAGAGATGTGAGTTATGTTATTCATGCACCTACTGCTTAAATATATCTTCAGTAGCATCACTGTTTTGCTTCTCTTATTATGTTTAACGTTAACGTCAAATAATAGGGAAATTTATACTAATATCCCCTATAGTTAGCAGAATTTAAAAAATGCTCCCGATATTTTAGATTTTATGTTCGTGCCCCTTTTTCTCTTTTTCTTTTTCCCAAAATGCTCTAGTTCCGAACTGGTGTTTTCGTGCACAAAACATGAAATCATATGTGGTTCGGAACTAGCAGTTCCTAAGCAGCGATAAGGATATCGACTGTGAACTGCTAGTTACAAACAGGGGGTACTCTGGGGAAAATGAAAAAAGTGAAGAACAGGACATGAACGTAACTAAAATATTGGGCATATTTTTTCAGTTCCAATAGTAATAAGGGATGTTCATGTAAATTTCCTTAAATAGTAAGAAAAGGTTATAGGCAAATGCTGGTCATTGCCAACGCAGTTATTGTGTTAGAATATCAGAAATTGATGTGCTTCTCTTTGCTGTAGTTCATAAAGAATTTGTTTTGGAATGCTTTATTAAGTTAGGTGCCATGATTTCTGCATTAATTTAATTGTTAAACATAGAATACAATTATGGGAAGACCCTACCCTTGTGCATGTATGGGAAGGGCCACATGTTTTCCACCAATGTTCGATAAGTCGACTTGGACTGACTACTCAGCCCATGCCGCAGCCAAGTACTCCCCCGAGTCTGAGTAACTCCGCCTGAGTACTGTAGCAGCTAAAAACTATTAAAAAATAAAAATAAAAAAATCCCAAAAAATAAGAACAATATATTCAAAGTAAAATTTAACAAAACATAACTAATTGTAGATAAAAAGTATGGAAAAATAGATGTTAAAAAATGAGTTTGTGTCCAGGGATATTTTCGATATTTTCCAAAAAAAGATGGGAAAATGTAAAAATAATTATTCATGGCCAAAATACTTTCCAATCGTTGCCAAGATGATAGAATTTGGAAAACATAAATGAACATGTTCAAAATATATTTCTCAAGAAAACTCGCGCTTGGCAAGGGCCCGAGCCCAAGTAACTCGGCTGACTTTTCGAACACTCTTTTCCACAGGGCACCGTTGTCTCATATTTTTCAACCACCTATACCCGAGGATTGCTTTTAGGGTTTCCTTCATTGAGATGGAGCTTGACATAACTATTTGGGAGTGGCTCAAATATTCATTTTTTTGCCTACTCTTCCAACCGGGTCCCTAGGATCTCAATAACACTATTGAGCTTATCCTCAGATTGATCCTCTAGCTAAGCACTGTTTCACATCATCCAAGCACCAATATCATTCTCAAATTCTCGGTATAAACCATCGAATAAGAGTAATGTATTATCCAAAAATTGAAGATGGATCATAGCTGTAATCCTTGGGTCCACCTTGAAGCAAGGGTTCTGTTTGTAGAGGAAGAAGATTTTAGGTCTCATAGTTATTAAATGCTTCCACTGGACTTACATGAAGAGTAGGCTCAGAGTTTGTGTTAATGGTGGGTATTAGAAATAATGTAATACAAATAATATAATGATGGGATTTCGAAGTAGATGATCAAAGGTAATGAGGGTGGACATGTGTTTGCTTTTATATTGCATTAATGGGGAATGGATCTCCTAATGCTTTTTATAGAGTGCATGGTGTTTGTTTGCTTAAGTGATGAGCTTATTGTGCCTATAACTAAATTGTCGAGTTGGTTAGCCACAAGGTCATATGTTCAAATCCTTGCCCTTTTTTAGGTTAAGAAAAGCCTATACAAATGTATAATATAAATTATAAAATATAGTAAAAGAAAATCACCTCGTAGGGTTTGAACCTCCAACCATAGTTACCCGAAGTGATTCAAAAACCAAATCGATTTAAGAACCGGAAGCATAAAATCGCTGCCGGCTGGAAGATTCTTGTTTTCAGAATGATGTCCTCACAAGAGGATTCATGGGGGACGAGATTCTTATTTTTAGGAATCGAGATTCAAGTAAAATAGAATCAAGATCCCTACATAGATGGAATTGAGATTTCTAGCTCTTTGGAATCGAGTTTCCGAACTAGTTGGAATCGACCAATATGGAATAGAGATTCCTTCATTTATGGAATCGACATTCCGACATCTTTGGAATCGCGAGGGAACTGAGAGGAAAAAATACATGTCTCAATGCCAATCATTGACTGACATGCCATACATGCACATTTACATTATTTGTATTACATTATTTCTAATATCTTGGAGTTGCATCTCTCCTATGGATAAATACAATGCATACTTAAAGAATTAAGTAGAGAATGTGAACCACCACTTTGGTTTCTAATGGTCACGACAAAAAAGATGACTACACTTTGTAGCTTGAGATTTGAGTGTCTAGCTCGAGTAGTTTGATGCCTTGAAAACTTCTAAACATCACTTCTCAGAAAAAAACAAAAAGAAAGAAAAATGGGGAGTTGGTAGAATTCCGGTACATGTAGAAACCTGTTTCAACAAGTATAGAATCGAGATTAACCAATTGCGAAATTGAGAATCAATAAATATTGGAAACGAGACTTTATAAGTGTTAGAATCGAGATTCCTAAAATAAGAATCGAGATTTTAGATGTTACAGAAACAGGTTCCACGAAGATTCCTAGTCGGAATCGTTGAATTTGGGTTCCAAATTGGAATTGCGATCTTCGGTGAGAGATTAAGATAACTATGCCTCCAACCTTAAGAGAAGGGTTTGAGTGCGCTAACCACTAGCATTCTTTAAGCTTTTTGATAATAATTATTATACAATATATAGTATGTTATGAGTAAACACTCGATTCAAGGTCATTAATTAAAAAAAAGAAAATGTTCACAAGTGGTAGGCAGGGGAATCGTACCCTCAACCTATGCCTGTCAGTGCTAGCTAACTAAGCCATTGGGAATAGTTGACATGATAATACCTATTATATAATATAGAGTAAAAACCCAGCTGATTCAGACAATGAACTGGTGTAGTGCTCATCAATTCCCTATCTGTATCATGTGATTCTTGATCCGGATTGCCTTTTTTGAAATTTGGCCTATAGAGATGGACCAGAATTCCCCTCTTATGTTTCAGTAGCATATTAATCATTTATGATATTTTTCTAGTTGAAATCCCATGACATGGTGCTACTCAGAATGTTAATCTTAAATATAATTTGGTCATGAAGTTCTGGGGTTGGATGAAACTGTTGTACATCGTGACTTGATGGAATGTCTGTTGTAGCATTCGTATTTTCCTGCTTGCATTTGTCTTACCATTGGTGTGCACTAACCAATGGCGGAGCTTCAAGACCTCTGATACTGAAATTTGAGTAGTTGGATCACTGGAAAGCTAAGGTGCCTAAATAAGAAGATGGATATTGATATGGGAAGTGGGAATACGATGTGGCATTTCCTGAAATTCAGGATATTGATGCATATATTTTATTGCTTAGATAGTTTATACTTTGTTTTGCTAAGTATGTGGTCTATAATTACGTGTAGTCTATAATCATATTTCCAGGTTTAGGAGTATGTGGTATCAGCGTCATCTTGTGTCGACTTCGGTCTTCTAGGCATATCTGACTATCAAGGTACCATACTTCCCAAAAGGAAAAAAAAGGATAGAGTATCTGGGACTGAGTTCTCTGCATCAAAAGGCCAATTTCTATTTCTTGGGGGGTGTACTGCCCATATGTATGTGCTCAGTCTAGTAATTCAGTAAACTGATGTCCATCTTCCTGGTGATGTTCTTGTCCTTGGTGAATAAATTCGGAAGAGGCTTCTTTAGTTAGGAGGAGAAGAATGCCTACTAGGCATTAGGGGTGTAAGAAGGTTAGTCTGTCACTGTTAAGAAAGTGGAGTCAATGTTGCATGTGTTCCGACATAGATGCAAATGCCATCACACTTAGAAGGTGTCTGATAGGGGGCCCACATATATAGCTGTCCATGCCTTTTATTTTTGTGTGTGGAGAGAGAGAGAGAGGGAGAGAGAGAGAGAGAGAGAGTAGTTGTTCGTTTTGGGTGACTAAATAATAGAATGTAGTACACGTAGTACGTTAGT